TGGGGACACCTGGGGACATTGGGGACATTTGGGGACATTGGGGACACTGGGGGGATTGGGGACATTGGAGACATTGTGGGATTTAGGAACACATTGGGGGGATTTGGGAACATTGAGAGGATTTTGGAACATTGGGGACACAGAGGGGGCATTGGAGGGATTTGGGGACATTGTGGGGACATTGGAGACATTTGGGGACATTGGGGACACAGAGGGGACACTGGGGGATGGCACCGAGGACGTTGGGACATGGGGACATTTGGGTGCACTTGGGGGATTTTGGGGCAGTTCAGGCGGTTTTGGGGTGGTTTCTTGGGGGTTTTTTGGGGTTTTTGGGGGTCCCCAGTTCAGATTTTGGGGTCCCCAGCTCAGATTTGGGGTTCTCCAGGGCGGATGGAGGAGGCGGAGCTGCAGCAGCACCGGGAATTTTGGGTGGATTTACGCAGGTGGATTTAGGGGATTTTGGGCCGGTTCAGGGCGTTTTTTGGGGGGGTTTTTGGGGGTCCCCAGTTCAGATTTTGGGGTCCCCAGCTGAGATTTGGGGTTCTCCAGGGCTGATGGAGGAGGCGGAGCCGCAGCAGCACCGGGAATTTTGGGTGGATTTACGCAGGTTCTGGGACAAACCGGATTTAGGGGATTTTGGGCCAGTTCAGGGCGTTTTGTGGGGGGTTTTTTTGGGGGGTTTTTGGGGGTCCCCGGTTCAGATTTCGGTTGGGGACATTGGGGACACAGAGGGGACACAGGGGGATGGCACCGAGGACGTTGGGACGTGGGGACATTGGGGGCACTTGGGTGATTTTGGGGCAGTTCAGGCGGTTTTGGGGTGGTTTCTTGGGGGTTTTTTGGGGTCCCCAGTTCAGATTTTGGGGTCCCCCAGCTCAGATTTGGGGTTCTCCAGGGCTGTTGGAGGAGGCGGAGCCGCAGCAGCACCGGGAATTTTGGGTGGATTTACGCAGGTTCTGGGACAAACTGGATTTAGGGGATTTTGGGCCGGTTCAGGGCGTTTTGTGGGGGGTTTTTTTGGGGGATTTTTGGGGGTCCCCGGTTCAGATTTCGGGGTCCCCAGCTGAGACTCGGGGTTCTGCAGGGCCCATGGAGGAGGCGGAGCGGCAGTGGCGCCTGGAATTCCACCGCTGGAGCTCGTACATGATGCGCTGGAAGAGCCAGTTCGAGCTCTACAGCCGCCAGGAGCGCTGCCAGCCGCTGTAGGAGCCCCACAACCCACCCGGGGCACCCCGAAATCGGCCTAGAACATCCCAAAATCCACCCGGGACACCCCAAAATCCATCCAGGAACCCAAAATTCATCCGGGGCACCCCAAAATCCATCCAGGAACCCAAAAAACCCACCCAGGACACCCCAAAATCCATCCAGGAACCCAAAAAAACCCCCCCAGAACCCCCAAAAATCCACCCAGGAACCCAAAAAATCCACCTGGGAACCCCAAAAACACCCCAAAATCCACCTGGGAACGCCAAAAACCCCACAGAAACCCCACCTGGGGTCCCCAAAATCCACCTGGGAACCCCCAAAAACCCCACAGAAACCCCACCTGGGAACCCCAAAAATCCACCTGGGAACCCCAAAACCCCAAAAATCCACCTGGGAACCCCAAAAACCCTACAGAAACCCCACCTGGGCACCCCAAAATCCACATCTGGGAAGCCCAACAAAAAACCCACCCGGGGCACCCCAAAATCCATCCAGGAACCCAAAAAACCCACCCAGGACACCCCAAAATCCATCCAGGAACCCAAAAAACCCACCCGGGGCACCCCAAAATCCACCTGAGACACCCCAAAATCCATGTGGGACACCCCAAAATCCATCCAGGAACCCAAAAAGCCCACCCAGGACACCCCAAAATTCATCCAGGATACCCCAAAACCCACCAAGGAACCCTAAAAACCTCACCCAGGAACCCAAAATCTACCCAGGAATCCTAAAAATCCGCACAGGACACCCCAAAATCCATGTGGGACACCCCAAAATCCATCCAGGATACCCAAAACCCACCAAGAAATCATAAAAACCTCACCCAGGAGCCCCAAAATTCATCCAGGAGCCCAAAATTATTCCAGGACACCCCAAAATCCACCCAGGAATCCTAAAAAACCTCACCTGGGACAACCCAAATCTACCCAGGGCACCCCAAAATTCCCCTCTGACACCCCCAAAATTCCCCTGAAACCCCAAACCACTCCCAGGCACCCCAAAAATCATCCTCAGGCACCCCAAAACAGCCCCAGAAACCCCAAAAATCAACCCCAAACACCCCAAAATTTCCCCCCCAAACCCTCCAGGACCCCAAAATTTGGGGACCCCCCCCCCGCCC